TTGCATGCGAAGCATCTCGCGAAGAGCACCATGCCGCCGCTGTGCCACGCCGATCGAGGCAAACAGGTGTCCTTGTGCTATATCGCAATTATTGACGTGTTGCGCTTCGCAGTCGCCGCAATAGTCTGGACCCTGGCGAGAGAGAGAGAGAGAGAGAGAGAGAGAGAGGGTGGACGATCGGGATAAGCTCGACTAGCCTACGAGATTCTAGGTCACACCGGTGAACACCGCCGTAGGCATGCCTCGATTTTACCACGTGGCCGTTCAAGGACTACCTCCCCCTCACCTCACCCTGTAATGGCCGGGGTCGAAAAAGTTCTTCGCCAGGACTGTATCTATCCCGAGGGAGGACAGGCCTGGATGAGAAATCGTTTGCCCATCTCTCTTGCTCTCTCTCTCTCTCTCTCTGTCTCTGTCTCTCTCGAGCGGAACAAGAAGGGGAAGAAGAGATGGATTGTAACGCGCCCCGATGTAGTACTGTACGACCGGGGGAAACCGTGAAATAAATTAATCATGTGTTAACGCGCGAGCATTGCACAACACTTTGGATCAAACGGGATTGTACGTTGACCTATTTCTTTTCTTTCTACAATCGAAACAGCCACATATGGAGAGAAAAAACGTTAATTTTAAAATGGCGACTGTTTATTCAAACGCAGCAAGGGCGTTTCCTATGTAATATTTTTACTGAAGGTGATAATTAAGTTTTCGGAATTGTTGGGCAAATTTGTTTATTCGCTGACAAATAATAATACATTCAATTTTGAAAGGAACATCCGCGCAGTGTCTCTTACTTTAGTGAAACTTGACATATTTGTGAAATAATTAAAATTGAATAATATGTATTTTATGACTGATATGTAAGTTTGGCGTTTTTCGTATGTTCAGCGTTTTGATTAGCGTTAGAAATCGAGATTGTTGAAATTCATGAAAATTATGGAAGTAGTTCAGACACATATACACACACACCAAATGTCGTTCTTACCGACATTGTCGGAAAATGTCTGCAACCAAGTAGTTCCACCGTTAAAGAGATCGCAGATGGCGTATCAAAGCAGTCGTCTACATGAGACTTTTCATGCCATTGAAATGTGCACTGTTATACTTCCTCCGCTCGTCAAAACGATGGAACATCCTTGCAAAAATAAAAGTCATTGAGAGAAAAAGAAAGAGAGTACCACGTGATCGGCACGGTAGATTAAATAAGACCAACCTTGTCAACCTGCTCGACTACTCTTTATGATCAGCGGGAGCCGAATAGCGTATGCATATTCTAATATGGCTTGAGAGATCAATGCCGGAACGAATGTTACTCGCACCCCACTGTCAACGCTTTCACACTAAATTATTCATATGATCTTGGGCCACACAAATTTCCCTGTAGACCCCGTGTACCATCATTTCGGTCGCGCTGTCGCAACTGGTTACTGCGCAGGACCATGTGTGTGCACGTATAATGTCTCGCAGTACTGAAGACGCTGCGTTCCGAAATATATCGGAAATATGTCGTTCCAACCGTTTGTCAAATGAAATTGCACACCGAGCTGCATAAATCTACTTATCGGATCTCACTCGCGAGAGTTTCCTGCGAGTTTTCAACCTTACGCAGGAGCGTAAGATTGAACATCGCACAAGTATAACCGTAGCCATGTTGTTAATATGCAATGTGCAGCACTGATAACGATATCGTTCTCCAGCCGATATTCAATCACTCTCGTTACAAACGTCTTGTGTACCGCAGCTATAGCTGAAAGAAATATTCCGATAGAGAATTACGAATGTCCGCTCGACACGAATGGTGTTTAAATACTGACCCACCTCGCCGACCTTGGGTGAAAGGTACACAGAAGGTCTCTCTCGAAGGATAACGCGGTGCTACGGTCGAGCGATTACGCTTCCCGTTATTGGCCAGGGCAAATGATTCGGGTAACTTATAGTCGGCATAGCCACGATTTACGGCGACTAATTGCGACGAATGGATGTGGGTAAACAGAGCGACGGTGCCACGGAGTTGCTCCGTTCTTTCCACGAGTCGCGCGATTAAGGGTGTGGATGCTCGATGGAATGGAAGAAACCCTGACGACCCGATGGGAACGTCGCGCGCTCCTTTCGATCGCGCTGAGATGCCAACTGAAGCTGACGGAATATTTCGATGAGTTTCCATGCTCGCGCGGTCGATACGCTCTCGATCGGAAAATTTCTCCCCCCTTCCCTTCCCCCCGTAAAACACGCGTGCATGTTGCAAAATTGCACGCGAAATGCACGCGACGCCGATTTCGACAGTTTTGAAAATTATCGTGACTTTAGCAGAAAACACGGGTCTGTATTGATCAACTTTCTACACAAAGAAGTCGCTCTTCGTCCGTCATCTTTGCGTGGGTCAGTTTCAGAACAGTTTCAAAATGACAGGCACGACCGTCGACGGTATCGCGCGAATTTTGGGATGGACCGGTCTCCTCCGTTTCCTCCGTTCATAAACATTTCTTCGACGGAGGACGAACGGAATACGTCTCCGCAGTTTCCGTCGCGGCACTTCGGAATTGGCAAGGTGTAAGGTGTGTGAGGCAAATTAACATCCCCTTCTTTTCTGCCCTCGCAATTGGCGTGCGGCGTCGGCGTCCACCTAGAGACGTCAGCCTGATCTACAAGGCGCATGCGGCGGAATTTTTCGGCCGGCAGGAGTGCTTTTGCATAGAAGACCGCGCTGCGAGTTTACCAAACGGTGTTTAGCCATCGCATGAAGCGCATATTTTCCGACCAGTACCAGTCACGCTCCCTACTCGGTTGCGGGGCCCCTCGACGAGAAGTTTCAGATCGATCGCCGAAGCTTCGCATGGTGCGCTTTTCGCAAAATCTCGCGAATTGGCGAATTGGCGAGATTTAATTACGAACGGTAAGTCGTATGGTATTTGATAATTTGGCCGAGATTCAAGTCGGTCCAGCTGGCGATAGTCTAGTCTCCTTTAACTACGTCGCATCCACGAACGCCTGGTCTGGCGACTGACGATTTTGCAAGGTGCATCGTAACGCGAATAAGCGCATGAAGCCGTAGCCGAGTACATAGAGGGGGCCCAAGAAATTTCCGGAGCAAGAAGCTTCTCCTTCGTTAACTCGATTTCGAGGCCTCAAGCATGTTCAGCCTCCGGAAGAGAGGCGGCTTGAGCATCAGCCAGATACCGACGTCGATCGGCGATCTGTCGCGGTTGCCGAGGTCGCCCCACTGGGATATGATCACCGTGCATCCGAACAGCTCGGAGATGGAAATGGCGGAGCAGCTGGAGCCCATGGACAGCTCCATGTCGTCCTGCTTCCTCTTGGACTTCTTCAACGTGTACTACATACCGCTCATCATTCTGCTGGGCTTGGTGGGCAACCTGCTATCGTGCGTGGTCTTCCTCAAGACGCAGCTGAGGACACGCAGCTCCAGCTATTACTTGGCGGCGTTGTCGATCGCCGATTCCGGCTTCCTGGTGACGCTATTCCTGGTGTGGCTCAACAACACGGTCGACTGGCAGGTGTACAACAAGGAAGGCTGGTGCGAGACTCTGGTCTACGTGAGCGCGGTCTGCAGCTCGCTCAGCATCTGGCTGATCGTCGCCTTCACCGTAGAGAGGTACATCGCCTTCCGGTATCCGCTGCACCGGCCGTACATATGCACCGTCGAGCGGGCGAAGTCGATCACCCTGGTGCTGGTGCTGGTCGCCATGCTCCTCCACATGTACGCTTTCTTCTTCGCCGGGGTGGTGAAGAACGCAGACGGCGAGGAGTTCTGCGAACTGAAAATTGAACATCTCGAGGCCATGCGGATCATCAGCATCGTCGACAGCATCATCAGCCTGATCGCGCCGATCGTGGGTATCATCGTGATGAACACCATGATCGTGAAGAACCTGTTGTTATTTCGCAGGTTGCTAGCGCGAAACCGCGCCGCCCGACCCGCCAACACCGAGAGCGAGCAGAACGACGTCAACGATCACATTTACGTCAATGACATTCCAGTAAGTATCGCTCGTGACTCCTCGATCGGCCTGCGAGGATATGTAAATAACGTGTTTTGCTTCGATGCACAGCTTTTTTCCGCGACTATAAATTGCGATGATACGTTACACGTGGATGTAGCCGGGCGATTGATGAGTTTTGCGTAATGCAATTTTGCGGACAGACACGCGCGCATTCGCTGCTCTCCGTACGTTTGTTTATCATCGCTCTTGGACGTTATCGTATATTACATGATTTATATTGTGCAATATAGATGCAGACATGTAGATATGATGCGCGCATTACTCGCACCTTCAGAGGAGATCAAAGATTGGATAGCGAGAAACCACCTGTTAGGAGAGGATTTCCTTTACAGGTCGTCGGTATTTACGCTGGCGAGCGTTGGAGATATGCAAACTTTATTAAAAGATTACAATGAAAATAACACGAGGTTGACGAGGAATTCACACGCTGGTAACAAGGAAGGTGGTTTCGAATTACTTTTCTTCTTGAGAATTTCGTTCCTACGATTTCTAGCCTTTCTCTTTCTCCTCGTCGCATATTCAAAGGAAAAATGCCGAAGGTCAGACTTAATTATGATTACAATTAACAAGATTCGTTTCGAACACCTCGTGAAGCAAACGTTACAAAAACTTATAGTGTACTTTCGCCTTTGAACACTCGATCCACCGACGAGCATTCACTGCGCTGCTGTCGAATCCCTCGCCCGTAGCTTCAACCAGAAGCCGCCTTCCGCCAGCATGACTAACGTCGTCTTGTTCAGAACCAAAGGAACCTTAGTTTTGACGTCGGGCATGAGATCGCATCGCCACAGCATGTAGAACAGCATAAGTTTCATCTCCATCAGAGCGAATCTGTTGCCCAAGCAGATCCTAGGCCCGAGACCGAACGGCAGATAAGTCGAGCTGTCCGAGTGGCCGTTCAGAAACCTGTCCGGGTCAAACTTGTCCGGCTCCGGGTAGTAATTGGGATCACGATGCAGCGAATAACTCGGGAACCAGATGGTCTGTCCGGGTTTTACCGTGACCGGTTTACAGTCCGGAGTGGCCGGCGGCAATTCGAAGTTCTTGACGCACAACCTGTCGATGAAAGCTGCCAGCGGATACAGTCTCATGCACTCGGTCACTACGGCGTCCAAGTACTTCATACTATTTAGGGCCTCGTAAGTAGGTTTCCCATCGTTCTCCTTGAGGACCTTGTCGATCTCAGCCCTCAGTTTCCTCTGGACGTCGGGGTTGACCGCAACCACATGCGCCAGGAAGCACATCACCGTCGATACGGTATCGAAGCCACCGAGGAAGAAGACGAACGCCTGAGCGGTCATCTCGTCGATGTCGAACTCAGGCCCGGTACTTTTCTCCCTATTCTCCATCATCAGTTGAATCATGTCCGGTCGGGTGATGCCCTTCTCGTCCCTAATTTTCACCGTGCTGGTAACGAGCTCTTTGAAGAATCTCTCGACCTTTTTACTGAACACGCGTATCCGGAACATTTTCGCGAATTTCGGGAAGTTCGTATTCAGAAGGAATTTTAGAGACAAGAAGCCGTCGAAGTTCATCGCTTCCCTGCCGAGAAGGTAAAATTCGTTTTTCGGGTATCTGAACGAGTCCACGCTGACGCCGAAAGCGCACGAGGCGACAACGTCGGTCGCGTATTTGGACATTTCCTCTTTTACATTCACCGTCTTGGCGGCCTTGAGAGAGTTGTTGGCCATGTGAGTGCTGAAGTTGTCGGCGCACTGGCATATCAATCCAAACATCATCTTCATTTTACTGGACGTGAAGGCCGGACTGAGGAGTTTTCGCATCTCGCGCCAATGGTCGCCCCGCATGCCGAATAGATTCTTGCTGGCTATCGGGTCGAGCTCCTCGTTCACGAAGTTACGGTGGTCGCAGAAATTGTCGAAGTTCTTGATGGCGATCGACGTGATCAGGTCCGGGTCGCGAATCACGAAGGTCGGCGTCGTAAAATAATAGAAACCGAAGTACCTCGCGTCCGAGAAGCGTTTGTACAGTTTCTCGATATTCTCCACTATGGACATACGCCGGAAGAAAAAGGGCGCTGTGTTGCCCAAGAAGACCACTGGTTTTTCATGTGGAATCTTCAGCTTCTCGAAGAGTTTCATTTTGCTCTTTATGATGCTGTACAGGCAGACGCACGCCGTCAGGACGGCGAGAAGCAGGATTGTGGTCACCATCGCGATACTAAATCCCGAATTGTAGTTGCAGGCGAGAAGAAAACGTTGCAACCGCTGATGATTTGCTCGATATCTCGAATCCAACGCTTTCGTCCCTACTATCTTCCCCCGTGCTCAATCGCGAAATAGAATTCACATTTTTAGTTTCCGGATCCACTGGTTTTCCCAATCTCTCTTCGAGATCCGAAACAATCCCGAAACAAACGCTCGACCTCGCGAATAACGTTGTCGATCCCTCTTGAGGAAAGCAGGCGAATTTCGCGCCGCCGACTGTTGCAAGCTGTCGATTGATAGTGATGTTTATTTCTATAACGGCGAGTTTTATATGTGATACGGAGATATGCTATCAGCTCGGTAGCCAATGCAATAATGAGACGCGTGATATATGTGAGCCTTAAATATACTTTGTCATTGTTTGTCAAAACACAATAAATTTTTTCACGGTAGCATTTAATGAAAACATCTGTGCCGGGATTACGTCGCTTAGAACATCTGTTTATGAAACGGGTGGGGGTTATTACATATTAGCGATCTCTCAACGAGGAAGGATTCTCTTCTATCTACAAAGCATCAGAATCAATAAATCCACTTGTATACTCGTATGTATATGAATATACGTGTGCTAATATTGCGCCGCTGCATCGTCGCGCGCGCACACCGAGAGGAAACAGCGGCAAAGACACCATACATGGAAATAAATGTAAATAAAAAAACCCATTAAAAAAATACACTGTTAAGAGCCAATAAGCACAATTGACCCCATGCTTCGCGGAACAACTCTCCGCTGCGATCTTGACACGCTCGACTCCCAATCGAGAATATAAGAATCGTGACGCAAATTCTTTGATTGGTTAGATGAGTTATACAACGTCTACTTTACATATATTATTGCCGACTTGACTTAACATGAAGCGACTCGGTCTCGCGTCGATCCGATAGGTAAGCTTTCATCGACGACAGGGGTCATCAGTATCCTCCTTTGCAAGTTCAACCGAGAATCTCCGCGGTTATGATAAACGCTTTTTTGCTGAACACGTTGGAAATCTTAATTTCAGCAACACACCCAGTTGATTAAATCGATAGTCAGTTTTAACGTTTCCGTTTTTCGACGATGAACGATGTTACTGAATTCACGGGTTCATTATCATTTGGATGGCTAACGGCCGCTTGATAACGATATAGTCTGTTACCTTGTTCACTGTCATGGTCGGGAAAATGATAAGCTGAAATAATTTTCTGTTATTTGCTATATGATAAATCGCAATCGTTTCGAATTATCTTTTCACGTCTCTTCATTATCTTGAAAACTTGTCCTCGTCACTGTTTCCATCACTCGCGTACGATACCAACTGCGGAATTAGTTTCACGATTTTTTCCACTGACCCCTGTGCCTTGTTCAAATCGTTATTAGAAACGTCCGGTCTAGTGGTAGAATAAACTCTTTCGACACTTTTGAATATTATCAACGTTACCGTCGCGATATCGAATTCCGGATTAGCTATACTAAGAAAATTCCTTTGAACTATTCTTAGTTACATAATTGATTTGATCATTTGTTGTAAAATCGTGTGCAATCTTGGGCAATCAATATCTTATCACCTAGCGACATATGGCGCCGATCACACAAGGCATATCTTATACACGTGTCTCTCGATATTAAAAATTCATTGTCGTTGATTACGCTATCTTGTTTTCTTACTCGCTATCCGCATTTCTCCGCACAGATATCTATAAACACACTTGTTGCTCTGCAGTTTGATAATATCAAAGGTTAATCAGCGGTGCATTGATCTAACTTAAGTTAGATACTCTCGAATGAGTGAGAAAGATTACAAAAAAATATATTCACTTCCTCATTCTATTCATCAGATAATTGATCGGTTGTAAAGATGTGAAAGTCCAATAAACGTCTTACCTCGTTTGAAATTTTACACGTAGCGCACGTCCGAGATGAGACAGATCGAAAATCTCAATTGATTTGCAAAGTGAAAAACAATATTTATCGCACGATTTTCAGACCGTTCACGCCAGCATCAACAGACGCCGCGACATCAATCCGGTTTCATTCACTGATGAGGATAGGAACGACAGAGTTTTCAAACCGATAGGTGAGTCGGTTCACTGGGACACAAGACTAGAGTTGCTTTCTCTCTCTAAAGGCGGATTTCTGTCTAAACAACGAATTTTTAAACCAACTTTGACATCTCTTCGTTTAAGTTATTGAACTCTTATGAATATAAAATTTGTATACATATTTAATTATCTTTAAATAACATTTATGAATGTTTATCTCTATATTTTTCATAATTTAAATATTAATATAATATGCAAACAGATTTTTCTTCAGTTTATTTGAAATACGGAAACCAAAGAAATTTTCAATCTACACGAATATATAATTATCTCCCGAGTTGAAATTAAAAAAAAATTAAAATTTAACAGAATGGTGGACACTTAGCGAACAAAAGGTTCCATTTTTGTCATTTAATAACTTGAACCAAAACAAAAAATGTCGTCTGAAAATTGTGACATCTACACAAGAATGCTCCTTTCAGACTGTAAAAAAACTAAATTAAAACGAGATTAAAATAAAACGATTGCAGAAATCGAGCGTCCGCCGAAGTATGTATCAACACCTATTCGACCAATTCGTTTGTCGCTCCCGCAATCGATTCCTTCATCCACCAGACGATACGGCTGCGTATGGCCTGGACCGGAGTATCTTGTTGAAGAGAAGGAGGACGAGAATGTTTTCGAGTCGATAGGTAAATCTATCTTACCGTAACGTAAGATTTAATCCCCCATCTCGTCTGGATGCCTATTTCGGGGAAACCAAACCAGAATGATTTGCTCCGCAGAAATCGGGAGTCCGTTGAGGACCCCGATATCTTCCTCCCTCCCGATTCGTTCATCGCTACCGTCATCGATTCCTCCATCGACGAAACGATACGACTGTGTGTGGCTCGGCTCGTGGTGCACTCTTCAAGAGGAGAACGAGAGATACTTCGAATCGATCGGTAGGTTAGCCAAACTGAGATCGACAGAGATCTCTCGCTGAAGAGTGCATTTTAGAGCAACTAAGGCGAAACGATTTGTCTCGTCTTATTCCGCAGAAATCGGCAGTACGAGGTACGTGTCAGCTCCCACACCCCCGCCAAGTCAGCCACCGTCACCGAAGATAAATCACATATACGCCAATCAATGGGACAAAGTTTGGATCGGATCAGCGCGTACTGTTGAAAAAGAAGAGGACGAGAATGTTTTCGAATTTATAGGTAAGTTGCGGTCCACCGCGACCTGAGGCTCGAATCTCTTAATGACTCGGGGCTGCCCGAGTGGGTGACGAGCTCCGATGAAGAAACATCGATCGGTGCGGAGTGGGAAGTCGCTTTGCATGGGAAAATTGCATGAAAAAGATTGAAGCAGGAGTAATTTGTCTTTCACTTTACAGAATTCCCGTCGATGCCGGAACGCCAGTCGGAAGGCCAGCCGGAACGACAACATCCTATCCGTGAGCTGCCACCTTCTCTACCCCAACGTGCAAATCACCATCGAACTTCCAATATTACGGAATCGCATCATTTTACGAGCCACCAGAATACCACCAAAGTGCTTTTACTGATCAGCACTGTATTTATAGTGCTGAATCTGCCCAGGTAAGAGCAGTGCAGTCTCTCTCTCTCTCTCTTTCTTTCTCTTTTTTTTTCTCTCTTTCTCTCTTTGCCTCGTAAGATAAAATAATTTCTCAGAAATTCGTTGAAACTCAGGGACTAATACATCAATCGAAGGATTATCTAACCGCTCGCGCAATCAGAGAAAAAAGATCGATGACCGAAGTGGAGATACTTGTAATTAAAGTTGACACTTGTTCAACACGAGTTTCCTACACACCATGCTGAAACTAACGTTTAATCCTTTAATTTTAATGTTTAAACTAGTCGTTCTGTTTGCAGCTACATCATCCGTTTATGCGTGTTCTTCCTTACTCTGGTAGAGAAAGAGGCGCCGGACTTGCTATGGTGCCTGCAGCAATTATTCATGCTGCCTTATTACACCAATTTCAGCATCAATTTCCTTTTGTACGCGATGTACGGCGTCGCCTTTCGCAGCTGCTTGCGAACGATACTACGAAAGGCGACGAAATGCATGAGAAAACACCACAAAGACCGAAACAGGTTTTCGTAATCGACATTTTACTTTTCTCCCAATAAATCCATCAGTAATCACCAATGTGCTCGCATTGCGCTTCGTGCTCTTTATTTAGAAGAAACAAAGAAGAGACGAAACAAGGCCCGTCTACATACTTTCATGCGCGTGTGTAACCTGCATAAAAGATTGTTTATTAACTATAACTATATCGTATTATTTATATTACTCTATTATATTAATTAATGTGATAAAACACTATATCATAACTATATGATAATTGTAATTGTATAACTGTATATCATATGAATTGTAACTGTATCTTATTATCCATGTGATCTGTGTCACGCTTGGTTCATTTGGATTTGCAAAGAAATTAGGCCGATGTAAATAATAATCGCTTCTATATATATATATATGGTAGACCTTTAAGTAAATAAATTATCGTTTCCGAAGAAATTTGAGGAAGACCTTATCGTTTATCTACTCGTCCTATTATAGGTACATTAAGATTTTATTTTGCAGAAATTTTACCCTAAATTTCTCGCCTTCTATAGAGCATTTCTTCGTGCAGTATTCGCGACGGCCTTCACGGTATCTTCAAACTTCATTACGCCGAAAATGAGTAGATCTTTGAAAGTTAACGTCGGAGTGAGCGCCATTTGTACGCCGGTCTTCTTGAAAAGTTCCTCGAAATGGTGATCCTTCATTTCGGGTTCTCGCAGAGCCAGTATCACGCCGATGCGAGGCTTAAACGCTTCAATCTGTTGCCTCATTGTAAGCGCAACGGCGGCCACCTCTGCCCTCGCAAGAAAAAAACGTATCAATTATCCCCCAATGAGAGAGTAGAAGTTCCTCGCAAATCATATGTATAACGCATTTGGAACTTAATGAACATTCTAAGCGGAACTCCCACCTACTTGGACTGTCTTTAAATATTTCCGCGCAACGCGACATGGTTTCGTGCAGATCGGCAACTATGCCTTCGATCTGATGCGCGTCGATGTTCATCAGAGGATTTTCCATCCACATCTCTTGCCACTTTAACCAATCTGCACGCCAAGATTCGGAAACACATTCGAAATTTCAGACGATACCTCAGGCTTTCGCGGTGTGCAGAAATGCTTAATTTGGCTATTCGAGTTAGTCCTTCATGGCTTTCTCTCCGACGTTTCGTGGAGATTTCAGTTCACTTTAAATTTCGTTCCTCTCCCTGAGAGATGTGAATTGAAATGTTCACGGAACGTCGGAAACAAATCCACTAAACGAATACTTGATTTGAAGCTGTTATAGAAGAGCTAACGAAACGGTGTATGATGCGTTGAAATGAGATAAATAATAGCAAACATCAGAATAAATCAATAATACATGAGATATGTTATCATTAAGATTTTGAAAAGCTAATTAAGTATCAAATTACCAGATGCAGCGACCCATAACGTTAGATACGGCTCGAACTCCTTCACCAATCTGTTTAATTGCTCGAACACCACTACTTCCATGCCGAATAATTCCTGTCGCTTGTTTAGCAGTAAACTCAATTCCCGATATTCATTCATCATCTTCTCAATCCTCTTCGCTTCAATCGCCGTCTCGTGTATCCTATCAATGCCCGTCTGCACCGTCAAGTTTGCGACGTTTCCTATGAGTGTATCGATCTTTTCCGACAGGATAATTTCGTCCTGCACTTCCAATTTGTGGAATTTCTCGTACTCGCTGGCGAAACGTTCTTTGGCCTCTTTCATCTGTGCAAAAAAAAAACACGTCAAAATTCCCCTCATTAACTGCGACGCATCTTTTTGTATAATCCACGTGGAGAACGATCAGCGAATCTCACAAGTAATCGCACTTTGCGAGAGGAACCTATGCCTTGCCACTTGGCCTCGAAATCCTGGTCGGACAGATTCCATCGGAAGTAATCGAGAACGTCGAATTCGCGCGTCAGTTTCTGCATAGTTTCGTCCAGCGGCCTCATCGTCAGCGGTATCGTCGCCACCCAGTCTTGTTCCTCGAACAAGTGTTCGATGTCGCGCGACGGTGATCTCAGTCTCGCATCGATTCGCGAATAACCCGTCAGAACGACGTTGGTTCGCGCCCTCAAGCTCTCGGTGAACATGGTCAGTAGCTGCGTGACACAATTCTGTCGTTTCTGCACGAGATGATGTCTCAGGGGTTGAACGTTCACGCGAAAAGGACCTACGATCATCTCGTTCGGCAGCGCATTCTCGAGGGCGGACTTCATTTTCAGGTGAAAGGACACCTCGTCCTTGACTTCCAGAGCGGTGTGATCCGCATCTTTGAAGTCCCTGCGACAAGCGACAAAGTCGAGGAAAGGACGAGCGGTGTCGTTCGCATCGTCACGACGTCGATCGCGTCTTCCTTGCAACCCCGCGTCTCACGCTCGAGAGACTCGAACTTACTTCATATATTTCTCAATATTCAGGGTAAAAAATTCCAGATACTGACGATACTCGTTCGCATACGCTCTCAGAGGTATCACAGATTTTCTGTAAGCGATCCTCAAACGATCTCGAGCCTCGCAGACCCGCCTCTCCTGTAAGCCTACCGAGCTGAGAAACAGATCTTTAGGGAACGTCAGGAATGGCAGCAAAAAGGAATGAATCTGTCTGATTTGATGGCACTGGCTCAGGAAATCATCAAACAGAGTTACGATAACTTCCTGGAAATCGATGTGGAGTGTACTGTTAACTCGTCGGTTCGTTCCTCGACGAGTTTCGACGAGATTCCATACTTCGAACGATTCCAGGTCGGTTGAATAACAGACGGTATCGCCATTCATCAGAATGTTGATGTTGAAGACAGGATGTGCCGTGGATTTAAATTGCGTATTTACGAGATCGGTGCCCCACACAAAATCCTCGTTCACGTTTAAGGTGCATATCGCCGGAGCTGTCAGCATTTCCACGTACAGGTCGATCGACTTGTATACGAGATCTCGCAACGCTGTCTGCGAGGGACACTTCTTATTATCAATTTGCTCAACGAGCATTTACACGCCAGCGCTGCAGAGCTCGGCAGAAATTTAAACGTTGCTTCATATTTCCACGTATTTTTCAACCGTAAAAGTTGAGACGCGATTTTACAGGGACTCGGTTTTACCTGCATTCGAAGCACAGCGACATCTATGAATCTTTTCAACTTCATCGCGTCGTATACCTCGCGATTCTTCTGATCAAGATCGAACCATTCCTTCCCGAGATCCCGCAGACACCTTCGAATCGACTGCGTGATCCTTTCCAACCACAATTCCTTCAGGTACTTCATCACCGTACCGTTCTCTAGATTCTGTTGCGACTCAAACTCCAACAGAGGCATCGATTTACCGTAAGTCGAGGCGAAGAGATTCATATCGGACACGTAGATGCACTCGGCGACCACGCACTGCATGGCCTCGTACACTTCCGGCAAAACGTACAGAGTCATCAAATGGAAGTAATCCTTCGTTTTCTACAAAGGTACTTCGCATTAAAACCATCTCGTAAAGTGCGCACTGATGGATAGGAAAATTTCCTCGCAAATACCGCGAAGTCTTCCATGTCGGTGTGAACTCTTCTCACTTCTGATATCGTGATATCGCAGGCGACATTTATCTCCTTCCATGCGATGAAATTAAACGTATCGGCTTGTTTTTCAATGAGAGGCCGCCACGTCAGATCGCACATAACTCGACGATACTCCAGCGCAATTTCGTCCATCAACTATCCAAAAAAACAGCACATAATACTTACGAGATATTAAAAAAATATACATATAAAATATAAATTTTGTAAATATTCGAATGTCCGGGAAAGTCAGATATGAGAAAGATCATGGTAAATGCTCAAAAATACTTAAGAAGAATATTTTTCATAAACAATTAAAACACGGTTTTACTCAAGAAACCTGGATAAATACCGTGTGAAAAGGCCATTAATCAAACAAAAGAAATAACGAGCAGTTGTGCACCTACGTTTGAAAGATGACCGGCGACACGTTCGATGGGGTTTTCTCGAGTAGCCGAGAGGATTATTCGAGCTTTCTGTCGCTCCTCGTCGAGCGCCGGCATGCCGTCAAGCCGCATACAGTCCAAATATAAATGGTATCTGCGCACATTTTTGCTTAATTCCTGTCATCATCGACTTTCCACCTATCTATAATTTTCTCAGGTACTCCAGAGCGTTTGTCAGGTTAATATAATGCTGCGCAAATTAACCTGATAGTAGCTTCGGCTATCTGTCTTTGTTTGACGGCGACTGCCACTCTCTCGGCGAATGTTCTGGGATCCTCTCCATAGAATCTAATGTATATCCTGGGAAGGAAGAATCCTCGCTTGAGACCGTCCAACGTAAGAACGGTCCAGACTTTCTTCTCGCTATTGTAGTCCGTCACGGCAGCTTCGGTCCAGCCGAACAAATCATCCAGCTTATCAATATTTCGACGAAATATCCTTCCTTTTCGCCCGGCCTTTTCGATAAATACCGTAGCCGGTAACGGATAACGGACACCATCGACGATACCGAAATTCATCCACTCCTCCGCCGTTCTGCAATTCGCAAAAATCGCGAGGCGCGTATCAAGCGCGGCAATGATGATAATTAACACTCAGCCGCCGTCCACGGAATAATAAATATATAAATCAGTCGTAAAGACTTGTAAAAGATAGAGATCCTCCGAGGAACGAGCTCGATAACGCGTCTCTCACCTACAATCGTATTCCTCATCGTCGAACACTTCTAACGGTAAATAGTTCGCCTTAGGGTACAAGCCGTATTTCTCTTCGTAGGAGAATGACGGATAAATTTTTTCGGGCGGTATTATGTCACACGGCTTGACACCTTCCGCCTTTAAAACGTCTTCTATTTTTAATTTCGCGTACGCTCTTCGTCTTCTTTCCATTTCGACGTTGCGCGGCAGACAATTGGGCTCAACGTCGTATTTCATTTGCACCTTCGGTAGGAATACCTCCGCCGGGAAGACCTTCGTGGAAAAGGAAGGATAAATTCGAATTATTACCGCGCGAACAAACGATCCGTTTCATCCCTCCGTCGAAAATCTCAAATCTAATCAAAATCGTCCACACATCGTTGCGCTCTTGCACAACCGTGTGCTTGCTCACGTACGATTGATCTATCTTCGGGGAAACTTATCCATCTTTTGGCTTCGCCCAAATAAGTCTGTGTCTTTTGTATTTTAATGTCTCTCACGATCGGGCAGTGCTGCTTCGTGAAAACTTGCCACACGAGATTGGCTCGTCTCGGTACGGTTGACGGAAAAGTTATCTTACCTTTCTCTGCGTGCGATTTACGGAATGATTAGATGTAATTAACGATCGTTCCGTTCTCTTGCGCAACGTGACGCTTATTTACGTGACGATTTCCGAGTACTAACCTTTCTTGCGAGAATAGACGTTCGAGATATCTCCGACGTCCATTTTGAAACACGAATGATGATACTTTTCTTCGGCGGGAATGAACTCTTCCCTAGTGATGCTAACTTCGCGAAACGCCCCGCTGCCAACTTAAGCTAAATCGATTATATCAATAAAACGCTTGAGATTCGAATAACGTAAATAGCATTATTGCGCACATGCGGAATATGTTTTAGTTAAAAATATCTTGTGCAATGTATATTTGTATACTTTTAATGAGATATACAATAGGACTGCAAATGTATGTTTTCTTTTATACATATTAACAAATGGACAAAAATACCAAGTATGCCGTTGCTACGAGTGGCTATTGTAATTCGTTTTTATAGGCTATAATAACAAAGAGCATATGAAAGTGAAAAAGGTGAGAAGTAATTCAACTAATGGATATGTATAGATACAACAAATAATTTTATTACGTTAGATAATGTGATCCATACTTTTGTTATAATTTCTTAATTTTTTATTACCCAATTACGCTATATTTGTGCTGGAAGTGAAAACCTGCAACTTTATGAAGAGAAAGTTTAAGCAATCGACACGACACGTATTGAAATGTACACAGTATACCAGTTTCTTCTGCCAATTTTGTCTACGATAAGCGGTTAAGAATTTTTGGTGTCTACCTCGCATTATAATATCGAAAACGAGGAAATTACAGTGGATTGCGCGCGAATAATTCTTGCAAATTATAACCAAATAAGTAACTTGTCAAAAGAAATTTTACCATCGATTTGTCACATGTCACGTAAAAGTTGGTCTATTCTTTTTGAAAGCTGAACTGGCTGCATTAATTTAAGAAATTTATGTACACTGAAGCATTTCGTACGTACGCTTCATATGCCTCAACGTATATGTTAATTTCTTGAACTAATGCAGCCAATTCAGCTAAAAAGAAGAGACAAAATGTGGCATGATCAAATGTAACAGCAATAATATAGAAAGGATTCCAAACTCATCAGAACTATATTTCTTAAAGAAAACAGCTTATATTTTAGCCTGCTTTATTCATCAGTCAATATAAATGTTACTGACGGACAAATATATGAATCTTGGTTGCAAGAATTCTTCTCCTATATTTCTTTATAATTTACTCGCTCGCAACGTCGTAATTCAAAATGGTTAATATAACTGTCGGAAAATCTTAAAATCATCGCAGTGTTATAATATAATTATATTTATTTTTAGCTTTATTTTTTTATAATTATTAACACATCACTTTTCTCTGTCTATTTCAATGTTTCCTTCCATACTCATATTAAAAAATCTGTTTTACGAAAGTTGAATATTTATTCCCTTACTTTTCCTAAGGACAATATTATGTGTTAATTAGTCATAACAATCCTTACAATTAATTAGAAAGAATATTTCATCTATAAAAATTTATATATATTATTCCTCACTTGGTTTTTTTTGCTTCTATCTTCATAATTATCTGGTTAAAAGATTTACGAATATTAGTAATTTCGATTACAATTGTCTTATCATTATGATGTAATGACAACAAAAGATGAAAATGCGATATTAAATTTAGTTAAAAGTTGTTACATCTTTGTACCTCGCAAACTACTTTCCTATTTCCTTAGCAGGAAATATAAAAGAAAATGTAAATTTCATAGAAATATGTAAGTCTCAAAGTAATGCTTTTCTCAGCTAATACATCTTCTTAATGAGAGATAAAGTTAATATCTTCTAAACACAGATAAAAAGATATCAATATTT